TGAAACAACAGGGGTGAAAGTGGGTATCCTTGTTGTGTTCCAGATCTTACAGGAAAGACTTTCACTTTTTAACCCATTCTTGTGATACTAGCTGTGGGTCTCTGCTTTTTATGGCTTTTATTATGTTGAGGTGTGTTCCTTCTATACACAGTGTTTTGGGGATTTTTATGATAAGGTAACGTTGAATTTTATCAAATGCTTTTTCAGCATCACTTGAAATGATAATATGATTTTCGTCCTTCATTCTGTTGGTATGGTGTATCACACTGATTTATTTGTGTATGTTAAACCATCCTTGCATCCCAGGGACAAATCCCTCTTGGTCATGATTAAAGATATTTCTAATGTATTGTTGAATTGGGTTTGCTAGTATTTTGTTGAGGGTTTTTGCATCAACATTCATCAGAGACATTGGCCTGTAGTTTTCCTTTTTTGATGTGTGTTTGTCTGGTTTTGGTATCAGGGTAATACAGGCATTGTACGATGAGTCTGAAAATATTTCTCCTCTATTTTTCAGAATAGTTTGAGTAGGACTGGTATTAGTTCTTCTTTAAATGTTTGGTAGAATTTAGCAGTGAAGTCATAAGGTCTCGGGCTTTGCTTTAATATAGACGGAGACTATTTATTAAGGATTTACTGTGTTACTTGTTATTGTTCTGCTCAGGTTTTGGATTTCTTCGTAGTTCAATCTTGGTAGATTGTATGTGTCTAGAAATTTATCCATTTCTTCTAGATTTTCCAATCTATTGGCATATACGTGCTCATAGTAGCCACGGGTGATTCTTTGAATTTCTGTGGTATCAGTTGTAATGTCTCCTCTTTCATCTCTGATTTTATTGATTTGGGTCTTCTCCATTTTGTTCTTCATGAGTCCAGCTAAACTTTTGTCAATTTTGTTTACCTTTGACAAAAAAAAAAAAAACAAACAAAAAACACAACTTTTTGTTTCATTGATCTTTTGTATTGTTTTCTTCATTGCAACTTCATTTATTTCTGTTCTGATCTTTATTCTTTTCTTCTAGTTTACTCTTGTTTTTATAGTTCTTTTTTTTTCTTTTTTTTATACTTTAAGTTCTAGGGTACATGTGCACAATGTGCAGATTTGTTACATATGTATACATGTGCCATGTTGGTGTGCTGCACCCACTAACTCCTCATTTACATTAGGTATCTCTCCTAAGGGTATCCCTCCCCTCTCCCCCCTCCCCACAATAGGCCCCGGTGTGTGATGTTCCCCTTCCTGTGTCCAAGTGATCTCATTGTTCAATTCCCACCTATGAGTGAGAACATGCAGTATTTGGTTTTCTGTTCTTGCGATAGTTTGCTGAGAATGATGGTTTCCAGCTGCATCCATGTCCCTACAAAGGACACGCACTCATCCTTTTTAATGGCTGCATAGTATTCCATGGTGTATATGTGCCACATTTTCTTAATCCAGTCTGTCACTGATGGACATTTGGGTTGATTCCAAGTCTTTGCTATTGTGAATAGTGCTGCAATAAACATACGTGTGAATGTGTCTTTATAGCAGCATGACTTATAATCCTTTGGGTATATCCCCAGTAATGGGATGGCTGGGTCATATGGTATTTCTAGTTCTAGATCCTTGAGTAATTGCCACACTGTTTTCCACAATGGTTGAACTAGTTTACAGTCCCACCAACAGTGTAAAAGTGTTCCTATTTCTCCACATCCTCTCCAGCACCTGTTGTTTCCTGACTTTTTAATGATTGCTATTCTAACTGGTGTGAGATGGTATCTCATTCTGGTTTTAATTTGCATTTCTCTGATGGCGAGTGATGATGAGCATTTTTTCATGTGTCTGTTGGCTGTATGAATGTCTTCTTTTGAGAAGTGTTTGTTCATATCCTTTACCCACTTTTTGATGGGGTTGTTTATTTTTTTCTTGTAAATTTGTTTGAGTTCTTTGTAGGTTCTGGATATTAGCCCTTTCTCAGATGAGTAGATTGCAAAAATTTTCTCCCATTCTGTAGGTTGCCTGTTCACTCTGATGGTAGTTTCTTTTGCTGTGCAGAAGCTCTTTAGTTTCATTAGATCCCATTTGTCAATTTTGGCTTTTGTTGCCGTTGCTTTTGGTGTTGAAGTCCTTGCCCATGCCTATGTCCTGAATGGTATTACCTAGGTTTTCTTCTAGGGTTTTTATGGTTTTAGGTCTAACATTTAAGTCTCTAATCCATCTTGCATTAATTTTCGTATAAGGAGTAAGGAAAGGATCCAGTTTCAGCTTTCTACTTATGGCTAGCCAATTTTCCCAGCACCATTTATTAAATAGGGAATCCTTTCCCCATTTCTTGTTTTTGTCAGGTTTGTCAAAGATCAAATGGCTGTAGATGTGTGGTATTGTTTCTGAGGGTTCTGTTCTGTTGCATTGTTTTTATAGTTCTTTATGATGCATTGTATCATTAGGTTTTTTATTTGAAGTTGTTCTTTTTAATGTAGGCATTAACAGCTATAAATTTTGATATTAGTACCGTTTTTTCTGTATCCCATAGATTTTGGTATGTTGTGTTTCCATTATCATTTCTTTCATAAAATTTTCCAGTTTCCTTTTTAATTTCTTTTTTGATCCACTGTTCATTTATGTGCATATTGTTTAATTTCCTAGGAGTTGCCTAGGAATTGCAGTCTTTGTATCCTAGGCTTCCCTTCAGGTTTACCTGGGACCCCAGGGCACTTTGGCCTCTAGTAGTGTGGGTTGCTGAGAGACTCAAGTTCTCCACCCTGGAATAGGTGAATCCCCTCTAGCTAGGTCTGGTTCAAATGCTCCCTATGTGAGTGGGCACTGGCTGAGCCCAGCACGGCTTTGCTCTCTGCTATGACAGGGTAGCACTGAGTTCAATGTGAAGTTTCCCAGTCACTGCCCTCTTCTTCTCCCAAGTGTATGGACTCTCTGGGCTGCACAGTTGCTGCCAAGGGATGGGGGAGGGGTGGTATCTGTGATTTAAGACTGTCTCTGTCTGACCTCTTGAATGCCTGTTTCAACAATATGAAGTTAAAACCAGGCACTGTGATTGCTCACCTGATTTTTGGTTCTCATGATGATGCTTTTCTGTATGCAGATAGTGGTTACAATTTGGTGTTCCTGCAGGGAGTACACAAGGTATAGCCTCCTATTCCACCATCTTTCTCTGTCCCTCTAGTTGGTTCTTGACAACTATTGATAAAACGTATTATTAAATGCAGTATCTGGGCCATCCCTAGGCAAAATGTGATTTGCTGTTTTCCACTAGTTCTCTTCCTTTATTTTTTCCCACACTTCTATTTCCCCTCATTACATCTCCCAGGAGATTTCAATATTACAAGACACTTATAAAGACTATTTCACTATTTGAATGAAGTGCTAATAGAATTTTAGGTATCACTGGGTAGAGTTTTTTTTTAACAATGCAGTTTTGTGAGAAGATGAATTGGTCTCATTCTCAAAGGTCTTTCTTAGAACGAAATACAATAGAATTCTGATTTTTAAAATGAGAAATGAACTTCTGGTATAGTGAAACATATGGCTTATGATTGTGTAATTTTGTGTTCAAATCAAGAAAAATATATTTAAACATTTATCCTGGGGTTGATGTGAGAGCAATTTGTTTCACAGTTGACATTACTGAAGGAAATACTAGGAGAGGATGAGGAGGAAATTCAGATTTAGTATTTATTAGTAAAATAAACTCTTTAGCTAAGAGCTAACTTTACTAGCCAAGTTCACTCATATCCTCTTGTGCCTGGAAGTTAAGGTGGATTTTTCCTAGGCTGGAAAGTTCTTGAACCTCTTTCCCATAATTTTCTTCTTCAAAATTCCCATGTTGTGCAAGATATTCATACTGTACTATTGCCACTAACAAGGTGAGGATTGTGGTGAGAATCTGGTCACCGCATAGTCTTAATTTATAAAAGAAACAAGTCAATGTGTTAAGAAATTAAGTCAGAGTAAGAGAGGGATCAAATAGTATAGTGTGGAAATGTATATATGCTGGAAATAGGCCAGTCCAGGGATTCTCATATGACTGTGGTGAATGGCAAGTGGAGAGACAAAGTAGACTAGGACTGAAGAGTGAGCAGCATGAGGCCCCTTAGGATCATCCGTTCCAGTGCCCTCAGTTTACAGATGAGCTCCAAAGCTCACAATTGGATTGCAATGAAGAGCATGCCAAGAATTGAGCTGAAAGACCCCTAACCAAAATGTAGGATTCCTCTCAGGCTTATGGTCTTGCCCCTTTACCACACAGCTTCTGTGGCTAGCCCTTTAAAATGATTCTTGATTTCCATATTTGTAAAATGAGAGTTTAACAGTTTATGTGTCTCTCCTTACTTTGTGTGGATTCACTTATACAAAAAATAAAAGAAAACCCAAAACAGATTTCTGGAATTTTGTAGCCCTGTTGGTTCTTCATTTGTAGGGGCTGTATGAACAGCATGAAGTGAAACAAATAAATAACAAATGCTTATTTTCTCCCCTAAATAGTTATTTCAATGCTATCTTTTTTTTCTGGGGCAGTAGGGATAAAAGCTTTGAACAGTTCATTCATGAGGAGCAGGGCTTGAGAAGATTACTTTCAAGTTCCTGAGGGGCTCCGAGCCTGGGCGGGAGGGTATGAACACGAAGCCTCCTTATGTCTATCTCAGCCTCCTGCCTTTATCACCCAATGGTGAGGCCCTGCTTGCCTTTCCTGTTCTCTTGGTTTCCAGGGCACCCTGGGCAATTGATACCACCCTGTTACCCTGGAAATGGATCACTCTTTGTTTTCACGTTTGGACTCTCCTATCTAGTGCCACTGGTAGGGGTGCGATCCTGGCGGACCTCATAATCTCCATGGCTCCGTCCTACTCCTCTCTGATGATCTCCCCTCTCCTGTTGGCTACAATGGTACCTCCCAGGACCAGGTTGGGCAGGCAGAGGGGCTTCACTAGCAGACACAGCGGCGAGGCAGCCAGTCAAGGACTAGGAGGAGGTGAGGGACTAGGGTTCCGAGGGCCGTGGGGGATACCCTGTTGCCTGAGTCCAGGCCGCCAGAGCCCCTTCAGGAAGGTCTGGAGCAGGAGCTAAGGAGTTAGAAGGTATTCCAGGACCAGTGAAAGGTAGCCAGAGCCGAGAAAGATTCCTTTCCTAGCTTGGTCAGTAATGTGCAGTGTGCCCCGCTTCTGGCGAGTTATTGTCCATCTCTGGGCCTTGTTTTCCTCTTCTGCTTGCCCAACACTAAACTTCTTGATTTCAGTAAAGGAAGTGCCGCTAATTCCCCTTCCCCTCAAGGCCTGTTTGAAGACCCTAGTTGTTCCTTTGAGAACCTTTGAGCCCTAGTCCTTAATCCTTTCAACTGAGGACAAAGGGTTCATTCACCAGGACACCCAATTGTAGTTGAAGAGCGCTCTTTCTTTTTGTCCGTGGGCGAGAGTCAGGTCTTACACAGCTTGCCTCTTGTTTTCTCTCCAATTCCAGATAACATCAAGATGCCGAAGACTGAGGAAACTGTGTTCCAGAATGATCCCAGTGTAGCAGAGAATGGGGCCCCTGAGCCTAAAACACCAGGGCAGAGCCAGAAAAGCAAGAGTTTCTGTTTACATGACCAGTGTCCTGGTAGGTCTAGAATCATGTCATCACTTTTTTTTTTTTTTTTTTTTTTTTTGAGACGGAGTCTTGCTCTGCCGCCCAGGCTGGAGTGCAGTGGCCGGATCTCAGCTCACTGCAAGCTCCGCCTCCCGGGTTCACGCCATTCTCCTGCCTCAGCCTCCCGAGTAGCTGGGACTACAGGCGCCCGCCACCTCGCCCGGCTAGTTTTTTGTATTTTTTAGTGGAGACGGGGTTTCACCGTGTTAGCCAGGATGGTCTCGATCTCCTGACCTCGTGATCGGCCCGTCTCGGCCTCCCAAAGTGCTGGGATTACAGGCTTGAGCCACCGCGCCCGGCCTGTCATCACTTCTATGGACAGCAATTAGGCTAAAGGAATAGACAGCCTGTGATTTAAGGGCCTTTAAGGGATATAGAAGGCTCTTGCAACCCTGCATTTTTCCTTACTAATCCTTCTGTTAGTCTTCTTTTGGATTATTCTTTCTCTTGTCTTTCTGCCCCCTCTAATTTTTACATGCAGGACTTAGGCCCCTAATGGGTAAGTAAAATTAAAAGATTTTGGTTTTAGAGAAAGAGACCAACAAAGCAAATTACTTGTGTTTTACAATAGTCGAGAGTGATTTAGTCAGTTCAAAGCATGGGAAATAAATAGCATTTTTGTATTTTGATTTTGTAAAGTGTAAATGGTAGATCTAGGACAGATCAGAAGTGATCCAAATTATCTGTTGCTTCAATTGTGTTCTGTCCTTTTCCAGGGGTGCTTTGTTGACATAAAAATTACCACTGCTCTGGGGTAAAATTATTTAGATCCTTAATAATAGCATTTTTATGTGAACTTTGGGACTTTAAATCTTTTTCACACCTTATATTAGGCATTTGAAGCTTTGGCTTGACTAGTCCAACCTCACAGGAACTCAAATTGCAGTTATTTTACAATAATCTCCAGTGAATTTAACCAAAGATTAATCTGCAGACCTCTCCAGATGTAGCAGTTTGATCTAACCTCTTGAAGACTGAAGCGGGAAAAAGTATGAAGTTGAATCACATGTGTTTCTCTGGTGGCCACTTGGGGCCACTGCTAGTAAGCAGAATGGCACAATTCAGACTTCATAATGCCTCTCAAATAAATGATGTCTTAATGAATTAAGTAGATGGTGTATTTTAACATATGTAGCTTTTTCGTTAGGATAGAAAGGAAATATCAGTTGATGAGACTAACTTTTCAAGAAAAGTCTCATCGACTGTTTTTTAATGAAAAATAAATGGGCATACATAGACCATTTTCTTGGAGTGAGTTTTAGGATTCTTATATGTGAGTTTTATTATATCTTGAGGATCAATAGTTCTCTCTCACCAAGTTATGAAATTACATTGAAATTGAGTTACAAAATCATTTTATTGCATATTTTATTTTACATATCAAGTAATAATTGTAACTACTATATATACTTTGTTCCACTACCGAAAGTACTCTGCATAATGAATTTAGAACATTGGTTCCCAAATTCCAATGCCGGGCTGTGACATAGTTCTTACCAATATTGAATGAAATAAAACAATAAAGATGTTGTAATGAGTTTTCAAAATAATGTTAAATTGATTCAATTTAAAATTATTCTTAATGCTGACTGTGTTTTCTTTATACTTTCTGAGGTATTAAAATATGTTTTCTTCTTATGAAGTGATTATTTTGATGATGTAGGGTAGTTTTCTTGTTTGTTTGTTTGTTTGCTTTCATGTCCATATGTGGAAAAATAAAAATTGTTCTAATCATTATCCGTCACTCGTGTTTTGAAATGTTGTCTGTTGAATCCCCAGATTTGGAAACTACTGTTTTAGAAGCAGGATTCAGCTTTAGAGTCATCTAGTAAGATTTGTGTGGTATCTATAAGGAGATTTTAGCCTTCATCTTGTGTGTAGCCCCTGAGGTAGGAAGAGAACAGTGGGAACACAGTTACTTTTAGATACACGTTAATTTTACAAATCACAACTTATTCATTGTTTGCTGTGTTTTACTTATGGTTTTACATTTCAAGTGGAAGGTTTTGAAATCTGTTTTATGTTTTTCAAAAACTAATTTCTTCCTCCCATGCCTGACTTCTCTGAGATGTTCAGTGTTACTGAAGAGCAAGGATTTCAGAAAACTTCTAATAGTAAAATGTTTGAATGAGTCTGTGTAAGATCCGTTTGATGAATCTAAACTTGGGAGCCTTACTTGGCAGAGTGAATCTCTAAATAAAATAAAAATTCTCCTTCTGTGGGTTCCCTGTTGATGATGGTTACACTTTTTTTTTTTCCCCAGAGAGCAGACCTGATGTCTTTTCTGTCACAGATCTGATAGAGACAGTTAATGAAGTTTCCAAGCTGAGCATCGCACATGAAATCGTAGTAAACCAAGATTTCTATGTGGAAGAGACCATTTTACCTTCAAACAGGTACAGATTATTCAGGTTTTTTTCCAGTTTACTCTTCCTGGGGCGTAGGTACATAGCACAAATGGCTTTTGGTCAGGTTTGAAGCATCTTATTAATAAATTTAATGGTTGAGTATGTCTTATATAGTACCAACAAACCAGTGGAATTATAACTTTTAAAGGGTCAAAGCAGCAAATTATATTTAAACAGGTAATAAACCACTCCAGTTACAGGTTGAACATCCCAAATCTGAAATCCATGATGCTCCAAACTCCAAAACGTTTTGAGTACCAACGTGATACTCAAAGGAAATGCTCATTGCAGTATACTACAAGTATGCTGCAAATATTCCAAAATCCAAAAAATCCACAATCTGGCTAGGCGCAGTGTCTCACGACTGTTAAGTTCCAACACTTTGGGAGGCCGAGACAGGTGGATTGCCTGATCCCAGGAAGTCAAGGTCAGCCCGGGCAGCATGGCAAAACCTTGTCTATGCAAAAAATACAAAAATCAGCCGGGCATGGTGTGCATGCCTATAGTCCCAGCTACTCAGGAGGCTGAGGTGGGAGGATACCTTGAGCCTGGGAAGCAGGCGTTGCAGCGAACTGAGATCGCGATCACACCACTGCACTCCAGTCTGGGCGACATAGTGAGACCCTGTCTCAAAAAAACAACAACAATAATAATAATCCGTAATCCAAAGTACTCCCGTCCCAAGCATCTTGGAAAAGGGGTATTCATTCTGTATTGTCAGAATGTTCATTTCAGGATCTTAGTTAATAATGAAACATAGAGTGATTTTTCAGATCTTTTCAGACAGACTTGGAAGAAGTAACTCCTAGCCGTTCATCTTTTAATTGTCTACAGATTAAAGAGACGCAGATGAGTAGATTTTCTAATAGTGGTTTTGTTCAGTCTTCATGGGTAGGAAATTTCAGGGGACATTTCTGCTTCATAATCAGTGTAATAAAGATTCTGCAAATCAAGATTAGATCCCTGTCAATAAATAGTGTGCTTCTACAATTAGGCTTTATATTGGTTTCTCTTAATTATATTGATATCGCAATATATGATTAAGAATCATTCAGCATTTATGGATTGAATGCTTCTAGTATTTATTAAGAGTTAAATGGGTTGATTTCTTTGTCTGAGTCTGTATTTTATGGTATTTCTAATTTCCCACCTTAAATGCTTCTGTTATTTTGCCACTTTTGGGATTCTGTTACATAAAGCACTCCTCGCTTTGTCAGTGGTTCTCTTGATCTTCATACTTCTTAGATTTGCCTTTGCCTGTTGCCAAGGATGGCTTACCTGAAGGAAGTTTTTACCAAAACACAGGTCTTGTAGCATCTCCCTCATTGCCTTTATAGTCCCTGGGGCCTGAGTTAGATTCATTTTTCTCCTGGTAGGGGTGTAGAAAAAAGTGAAACTAAGAGAATGAAGGTCTGTTAAAGTGGCTAGGGATCTCAGGGGGTGGGTAGATGATGCAGGAGGAATGATATTATTTAGGGCTTGAATTTCACTGTGTATTCAAATTAACAGGCTTTTTCAAATGTAGTAATACAAAATGTATACTGGATAAGAGGTTGAAATAGAGTTTGGGGTTATACATTATCTACAGATAATTGACAATTAGTTTTCCCTTTGGGCTTATAAAATTATACTAAGCACAGTTATTGTTTTTTGGTGAAGACTTTCTTAATAAGGTAACACTTGAATTGAGTCTTTTCAGGTGGTTTAGGGGAGAAGGGACTCTCCTGGAAGAGGAAATGTCATTTCAGAGGCATAGAGGGATGGAAGACAATTATATATTAATTATAAGTGGACTGTTATTGTTAGAGCACAGGACGTAGGAGGAGAAAGAAAGTTAAGGTAGGAGAAGTGGCAGAATAGGATCGTGAAGGGTCTTAAAGGCCACGTACACTGCTAGAGATAGGCAGCTTCTGAAAAACTTTAAATGAGTATGCTATTATGATCAGATTTCTATCTTAGAAAACTCATTGATTTTATCAAAAATATGTATCATTGTTGGGGTAAGGTTTTGTAGGTAGAAGGTGGCCATTTAATAGACCATAGCAATAGTTCGGGAAAGAGATGACAGTGGGTGGGGACTGATTCCAGAGATATTTATGAAGCAAAATCTCTGGAATTTGGTGACTGAGTGGATAAAAGACATGAGGGGAAAGGAATTAAGAAGGGCTGCAGTACATACCAGATAGATAATAGTTGAACTTTCACAGGTTAGATTGTTGTGTTGGAGGAGAAACTTTGAATTTTTATTTCATATATTTATTAATCACTTGTGTTTTTGTAAACAGAAAGCATACATTACTATTATATATATGTATGTGTACATATACACATACACATACATATATGTATGTGTACATATAGCTATATGTCTATGTACCTATACACATACACATATGTATGTGTAGATATACACATGCACACACATGTGTAGATATACACATACACATATATGTATATATACACATATACACATACCCATATGTGTGTATATACATATACATATACATACACATATATGTGTGTGTATATATATACACACACATATATGTGTGTATACATAACACATATATGTATACTTAGACATACACACATACATATGTGTATACATATACACAAATATATATGTGTATACATTCACACATACATATGTGTATACATATACACAAATATATATGTGTATACATTCACACACAACATATATGTGTATACATACATATACACACATATATGTGTATACACACATACAGATATGTGTATACATACACATACATACACAGATATGTGTATACATACACATATATATGCACAGATATGTGTATACACATATACATATGTACACACAGATATGTGTATACACATATACATATATACACACACAGATATGTGTATACACATATACATATATACACACACAGATATGTGTATACACATATGCATATATATACACAGATATGTGTATACACAGACACCCACACAGATATGTGTATATACATATACACAGATACCCACACAGATATGTGTATATACATATACATACATACCCACACAGGTATGTATATATACATATACATATATACACACACAGATATGTGCTATACATATACATATATACATATACACAAACATATGTGTATATATATATTTTTGAGAACGAGTCTCACTCTGTCACCAGGCTGGAGTGTGGTGGTGCTATTTCAGCTCACTGCAAACTCTGCTTCCCGCGTTTAAGCAATTCTCCTGCCTCAGCCTCCCGAGTAGCTGAGACTACAGGTGCCTGTCACCACGCCCAGCTAATTTTTGTGTTTTTAGTAGAGACGGGATTTCACCATGTTGGCCAGGATGGTCTCAAACTCCTGACCTTGTTATCCGCCCGCCTCGGCCTCCCAAAATGCTGGGATTACAGGGGTGAGCCACCACGCCCAGCCTACTATTACATTTTTTAAAGAGAAAAAGTCTCAGATTTCTGGTTAAAGAACTAAGTATACATGAGGAACAAATATAAAGAAGGAAGATCAGAAGTTCAGTTTTGGGCTTGCTGAATTTAAAGTGTCTCAAAAGACCTTCAAGTATTATCAAGAGATAAAGTCCTTTCCTAGATTTCAGGCCTGAAGGAAAAATAGCATCTGGTTCAAAGTTTTAAGTCTCTGGCTGTGGAAACTAAGTCACACATCCAGGCTAGATGCAGAACTAGCGTTAGAAGTCAGAGTCTCAACTCCTAGTTTATGGTTCTTCTGCTGCAGAAAGAGAGCATCTCTGGAACCCTGAGGTACCCTTCTGAGAGAATTTAGCCAATGCTTTTCCATCTGAGACTAACTTCAGTTTATTCAGCCCTTCTCAAGTGTAAACATAGGTCCTCCTAGCCTGTCAATTTAATGGTCTTTCATAATTTTAAATGTTGTTTGGGAAATTATGATCCTGTATCAATTCTCTAGGTAAAGAGCAATCTGCTCATTTAACCCTTCTTATAGTGTAGAAGGCAGGTTTGCGGAGGCAATGTACAATGCTTTTTGGAACCATCTGGAGGAACAACTATTGAGTACTCCTCCTGACTTCACCTGTGCTCTTGAACTTCTAAAAGATGTTAAGGAGGTGAGTAACCAACTCCCATTCGTGGATGGGAAGTTCCTGGGCATCTCAGAACCTTGGATCGTCAATGGCTATTAATATATCAAGTAGCATACTTTTTTATTAACGTGACCTACTACTTAAATAGATAGGATGGGGCAGCTTCCATTTTATTTGTATGAGATGAAACTTGACCATTGGGCGATTACTATAACAATATATAACTCAAATAAACAAATTCTTACTGAAACCCCACTATGGTCTATGTGTTTCAGAAGCCCAGAGATGAATAGGAGAGCCCTTGCCCACAAGGAACTTACCTGTTTGAGTCAAAAGGCTATTTCAAGGGAACCTTAAAGATTCCAAATTTGCTACTTTATCCTCACACTTTGGAGTAAAACAATCTAAAAATGTCTTTATCCTTTATTAAGAATGACTCATCTCCTTGTGGTGGTGTGTATTTCATATTTCTAATATCCTACACATTTAAAACCACATTCTTATTTTTATTCATATTTTTACCTCATTCTACCTAAAAAATAATAATGACTACTACTACAACTGATCCCAGTGAAACCTTGAATGGTAATTGTCCTCTAAACAGAAAGAAATAATACTCTCTAAGAGAGTTAGAGACTCAGTTTTCTGCCCCCAAGAAGACATAATCTGGGATGCCTTTGGCCTAAGAGTATAGTTCATTGGAGAAAGTTTGAGGTTCTAAACAGAACTTGGCTCCTTTGATTTCCTTTGTTGGGCAGACCTTGCTATCACTGCTATTACCATGGCAGAACCGCCTAAGAAATGAGATAGAAGAAGCTCTGGACACAGATCTCCTCAAGCAGGAAGCAGAACATGGAGCCCTGGATGTCCCTCATCTTTCTAACTACATTCTCAATTTGATGACTCTGCTATGTGCACCAGTTCGAGACGAAGCGATACAGAAACTAGAGGCCATAACAGATCCAGTACAGTTACTGAGGTGAGAGTCTAGATGTGCTGTCCCCCA